GGGTATGGGAGGGATGGGGGTTACATGCCCAGGTGGGGGACATAGGTCAGGGCAGAGGGGAGAGGTTTGGGCTGCTTGCACTGGAGGAGAGGTGAAACCATGGCAAAAGTCATGCCGAGGAAAAAGCATGGGTACTGGACAGGACCCGCTCCTCCAAACCACGCCATGATGCTAGGGTTGCATCTTCCATCATTTAACAAAACTGCAGGTTTTTTTCAGGAAAAGCCTCTGGGCATTAAGCATGTGTGTTCCAGCCCATGGGCCGAGCCTGCTCCACCGCCTGCTAGCAAGCAGCAGGCTGGTGTTGCACGACCACAGCATTGGTGGGCAGAATTAGACCCGAGGAGCAGGTGTGCAGGTTTGAGAGGGAGGGGATATGCTCTCAGGCTCTGAGAGGTGCTGGCAGCATGAAGGCAGGACGCCTGTGGTTTGCACGGGCCATCTCTGCCTGCAGCAGCCTCCCCGTTGCTTTCGCTGCTAACGAAGTCGCGTCGTCTCATGGTGTCGCAGCATCGCATCTTTACAGGGTGAGGGAGGTGAATTTTGGAGGCAGCTCTTGTTCGATCGTTGTTCTCTTGCGGGAGAAGCCGAATTTGTTTCCTTAATGCAATCACAAAGAAATCTTTGTGCGAAGGAAATATCAGGACACCTGTCTGCCTATTTAACCTCGGCTGCGAGTGAGAGTCCCCGCTTGCAGTTCTGACTTTCTTTTCCACTGCGTGCTTTCTGCTGGCTTTTCTTTGTTTTGCATTCCCCTGGCTGCAGTAATCCACCTGCTCGGGAGCATCCCTGCTGCTCTCCGCTGGTTCGGCATCGTGCAGCACAGCACGAGCGCTCGGCAGTGCCAATGGGCACAAGACTCGTGCCAGGTACCTGGGAACGTGGCCCAGTTTGGTGTCATCAGGAAAAGGAGAGTACTCCAGAAAGGGGTACATAAGCAGTTGCTTTATCGGTGGAAGGAGTCCATAAAACAACAGGAAAAAAAAATTGAGTAAAATTTCTTTTGTGGACAAGACACGCTGATGGAGCCGATGTCATTGGAGTCACTTCTTCCTCTTCTCTTCTGTTCTCTTCTCTGGAGACAGAGCCCATCACCTGTGATAACCCAGGGGAATCTTCATGGCTCTTCCGTGCCCACTGCATCCTCTGCCAGGTGGCTCGCTGCAGCTTGAGCACGCAGAGAACAACTGCCCGTGGAACATGCTGGCTCAAAATGTCCAGTCTGAAATAAAATATGCTTTGTCTGTATCTATATTTATTCATTTGTCAGAGTATGAGTGTCACCTTTCTCTTAGCACAAGGCCGTCAGCTATTTTTGGAGTTTCCCAAACTTAGGGGAAGTTCTTCCCTCACCTTTCTGGCACCATCTGGATGTCGTGTTGAGTGCATGAAGCTCACTGCAATGGCTCGAAAGCACCTCAGGCATGAAAACTGCTGGTAAAACGAATGTAAGAGTGATTCTCGCACTTGTCAGCAGATGAATACGTGCAAAAGCAGCCAGGGCTGGGGCTGGCAGGGTTTGGTCAGCAGCCGGCAGGACGTGTGTGATTTAGATTTTAGCGCTGGGCAGGGCGCCTGCCTTGGCACCGAGCTTGCCACGTAGTCGAGGCAAAACAGCTTCTGCTTTCTGCCCTTTTCCTACCTGTTTGCTCTTTTGGGCAGAAATTTATTTCCCCATTGGTTTCAGACCGTGCCAGCACCAGAGCCCAGCCCGGGGCTGCTGTGTGGCAGGCAGCGAGGGCAGAGGTGCATGAACCAGGACAGGTTTCCTATCACCCCTCTCACAGGAGCAAATGCTCACTGCTACCTCCACCTGTAATTTTTTACAGATAAAAAGCTCCTTTCTTTTTCCTTGTTACCAATAGCAGTGCTCTGAAAGGGGTAAAACCATCCCTCCTTTATTTAACTTATTAAAAGCAGTGTATGTTATGATCGACACCCACCAAAAAGAACAACAGCCGTTAAATTAAGCATGAAGTAACATATCTGGCCATAGCACTGTAAGCAATGAATAACACAAGCCAGGTATAGTTCTTAAACTTGAATGATTACAATTGAAAAAATCTTTTTCAAGGTATGCAGCCACAGAGCCACACCGTATGAGTGGGTATAAGCACGGAGGTGAATGTGCACATACCAGGGGACACGGGGATTTGCAAAATATGGGGGGATTTCTGCATGTTTGTGAACAGTTATCTGGAAGGTACTTTTGCTGTTCAGTGAAATTAAATTAATTCACCCTGTTCTGCTCAGCCCCGGTTGGGCTTTCTGCTCCCTAGCATTAAAACCCACAGGCAAATGTTAGAAATAGGGAATGGTAGAAGTCTGAACCAGAGGTTGGACTTGAGTGGGTTGGAAAAGAGAAGTTGAGAAGTGCTAGTTTTTCGTATTGTATTTTGCAAAATTTCATACTTTTAAGGGATCAAAATCATAAATGCACTGTTACAAATGTACAAAATAGAGAGAATTAGGAAAATGAACTTAATTTACACAGATGAGCATTATCTCCAGAGTCAGGCTTATGTGGTCATGTTTACAGTGCAAAAAATCATCCTTTGGCTTGGAGTTTCCACTGATTCAAGAAGGAAAGGAGGAAGGAGGCAGCAGCTGTGGCTTGTTATTCTGTCCGAGGTTCCTCTTAGAACAGAAATAGGTTCCTCCTAGAATAGGTTTCTCCTATTCAGGCCAGGTTCCTCCTAGAGCAGAAAATGAGATCTTTTCCATCACCCTCCGGAGCACCGGCAGAGAGATGCAACAAGAAGGAAAGCTGCTTCCTCCCTTCCCCGACTCTATTTTCTGAACTGCTTAAAGAATAAAAAAGCCACACACAAGTGCCGGGCTGTGTCCGGCATGGAGAGTCAGCCCCAGTCTGTGGGATGCAAGGTCCAGGGAGAGCTGCTGAGGCTCCAAAAGCTCATGGCACTGTCGGACACTCTGTTATTGCTCATGTGCATGATGAAGGGAGAGCAGAAATCACTCCTTTTCAGACGACACAGCATTTATCCTCCTTGATGTGATCCACAGCGGCTGGCCAGGGAGAACCCAACCCCCCTGTGCTGTCTGGGAGAGCCCCAACGTTGGGGTCTTCCCAAAAAGAGGGGCGGCCGGAGCCCAGGAGCAGCTCTGGGGAGGCTTCAGAGCAGCTGCTGCCCATTTCTGGTCTTGTGGCACCATCCAGTGGCTGCTGGCAAAGGACTCTCACTTCCCTGTCACCACCCTGTGTCCCCTCGCAGCCCCGGTCCCCAGGGCCCTGGGGACCCAGGTGGCCCCCTCAGCATCGGCCAGGTCCTCCACGGAGGAGGTCTCCAGGTCACTGCAGTCACCTGCAAACTGGAGAGGAGGACAGAGAGGGTGAAGGGGAGCAGCAGGGCCAGACCCACACCCCGCATTTGCGCCCTGTGCTCCCCTGCTACAAATCAGCGGGGATTTGTTCTCCGTCAGGCTGATGCAAAAATGAGAGCAAAGAGGGCAAATATGCTCGTGCCGGGACGCCACACAGGAAACCCCTTCTCTATTTCCATGGCTTGCAAACTGCAAATTGTCCCAAAAATCTCACGCTTCACTTTTTTTTTTTTAACTTTGCCAGATGAAGGCCCAGAATTTAATTGTCATTGCAAGAAGAAAAAAAGAAAATCTTCCCAATATTTGTGCCAGGCCTTCCTTGGGTACAACCCTTTTTAATTTTTTTTTCTAAAAAAGCAATTTGATTCCAACACTGCCACCACTTTAATTACATCAGATCTCCCCCATAAATTGAGGTTAAGTTTGAGTCCTGTTTTAGTAATTTAATAATTTCACCATTGCATCACTCCAATTATCTCTGGATTTGTTCCAGAGACCTTTTCTCAATTTGATTCTCTGGCGCTTATGTTTTGCTCCCAACTGCATGAATACTGATTTTTTTTTTTTTCCTTTCCCCAAAGAGGGTGAATGGATAAATATTAGGGGAAGGACAGATGACTGTAACTGGATGGAGGGGCCAAGGACCAAGTCTCTGCTGCTCTAAGTTTGAACGCCCTGCGCACAGGCTATGCCCTGTGGCACTGCTGATGGGTAGGAGCTGAGAAGAGGGTTTGACATGCGTGTTTTTTTGATGAAAATTATGTCAGAGAACATCCCTGCGGCCACATTCGCACGAGATACCTGGAGTTTCTTGGTGGGCTGGCTGGTTTTGGGCAATGCTGAGCTCAGGGCTGGGAAGGGTTTCACCCCACCGGGTGGTCTCTGTGCCACTGCATCCAGGCGTCTCTCCAAGAGCCTCACCATCGTGGATGTGGCTGTCCCTGTGCGGGGCAGAACAGGTTAAACGGGGAGCCCCAGGGCACGATGATGGCACAGCTCGGTGGGAAGGGAGGGGACCGCTGGCCGCCCCAGGGTGAGTTGGTTTCTGAATAGCTTAAACTCACTGGACCCATCCCAACAGAGCTGTTTCAGGAAGCAATCATTTTGTGCATAGGATAAAGCAGGGGGGGTTCCCTCCCCAAGCAAGCGCTGGGTGGGGAACGTTCCCGTGCGTGCAAGGATGCTGGAGGAAACCTCCACCCGCACACGCAGCCTGGGCTAGTGGTGTGTGGCAGAGCACCGACAGCTCTTTTTTGGCCTGGGAGACACCAAAGCCACATGCAAGGAGTACCTGCTGCTCTCTGCAGTTAATGCATAGGCAAGAGGTGCCTCCCGCTGCCCCCCCAACTCTCCGAGGGGGCCAGGAGCAGTGCCCACCTTGTTCCCTGACACATGGTTCACATCGGGTTTTATAGCATATAGCTGACAGTTAAAACAAGCTTTCCTCCTTGTGTTTGACAGCTCTTTGGGTCCTGTGGGGTTCCCTGCGTCTTCTAGACAGTCTGGTTTCCCCCTGCGCAAAGAAACAGCCGCGGGATTTACTGAGCCCTAGGAAAATACCCTGGCAGGGTCAGCACACGCGTTGCAGATGGTGAAAGCCAGCAGTGCCCTGTTGCCCGGCTAGGTTTGGGGGATGGCGGGGTAAGACTTCTCCCGCTTCAGCCCCAGGAAGAAGGTGACACGGCAGCGCTGATGGTGTTCACCAGGACTGTCCCCACCACCTCGCTCACCCACCAGCGGTTGCTGGTACCTGAACCAGCTGTTTCCTCCAGCGAGTCCAGGTCCCACCCGTCGGAGTCGGTCTCATTCCCTGGCAGCACTGCGGAGAGCGCTGGCTCCTGTCGAGAGCTGAGCCCCACAGGGAATGGGGCAGGTTTCTTCCCTCCCAGCATCGCTTCTGAACTGGTGCACAGAGAGATGGGTCGGGCGTGGGGTTGCTCTGGCGTCCCCCCTTCCCCACCCCTGCAGCAGATGCAGGGAAGCCCTGCGATGCTCTGGGCTGTGATCTGACCCCGAGCAGGGTAGCCCATGGAGAAGCTCTGCCTTCACCATGGCTGCGGACAGGTCCATCATACCCACCGACTGCAAACACCTTCCTGCTGGCATCTCCAACAAATACTCACACCCATACCTTGCCTTGCATTTGGATAGTGCTTTGCTTGAGTTTAAAACCTAGATCTGGCTTTTTCTTGCTCCTGAAGCAAACAAGTAATTCCTTTTCCTCTCTTGCTCTTGGTCACAGATGAGCTCCTCTTCCTCTCTGCTGCCATCTCACACCCTCTCTATGTTGTTTCTTCTCTGCATGGTCTGCACAGTTTCTCCAAGCTTTTATTTTGCATCTTTACTACTTTTGCTCCAAAGCCCCAAGAGAACTCCTTTATCCCCTTGCAGAGGTTCTGGGAGGGGAAGAAGGAGCCGAACACCAGTGGGAAATGCCCCGTGTTTATCTCCAGCACCACATGGTGGGTACAAGCCCCCAGGTCTGACTTTGCTGAGTTGTTTGAGTCAGCCCGTACGGGCAGGAAGACCCCAGGAATCTCCTTTTCTAAACAAACCCCTTTGGGGTGCCACATCACCCACCGCTCAGCAGTTTCCAAAGGTGCTGGTGTTTGGGCAGTGCTCAGCACACTTGGGGCCAGGTTGTGGCCGAGGGTCCCGGGCACTGCCTACCTGCCTGGAGACCGAAAGGAGGCGATGGGACTCACCTCCACCGTGGGACAAGTCCTCGGTGGGGACTGCTGGCTTTGGAGGTCCACAGGGTGCCCCAGGGAGTCCTCGGGGGACTGTGGGTGGAGTGGGCTCTGCTCCGAGGAGCAGGCTGGGGGATTACTGAGGCTTCAGGCTCTACTGCAGCTGGTATTGCCATGGGCTGTGACCCACGAAGGGACCTGGAGCTCTTCAGGCTTTGAGCTGGAAGGCAATATTGAGAGCAAGGAGAACCACCTCCCATTACCTGGTAGTCCTGTGGGCTGCCCTTGGGGGAGCACGCAGCCCACCTGACACAGGGTTGTGTAGAAAAAAAGGGGGAAAAAGGGATTTGCAAGCACTGCCAAACCTGTATTTCACTCTTATGGGGCTTTTGGGGGCAGCTGATGTTTTTTCCTGAATATGTCAGGCCAACCCACGTGAGGTCAACAGGCAGAGAGCAATTGCAGAGACTTGCATCACCCTAAATGCCCTTTCCTGCCCTTTCTCTGTCTTGTTGTCTCACTGGGTAAGGGAATGGCATCCCGTGGCCGTTGGTGGGTGGCCACAGGTCCCCACAGTTGGTATGTAGAGAGGACAGGAGGTCACTTCACCTGGGATGATGGAGAGCTGTCGAGGCAAAGTAGTGCTGGGCTTCTTGCATCGCCTGACTTTCCCCATCACCGCTCGGATCAACTCATCCCGCAGGTGGAGGAGACCGGGAAATTTCTGAGCTTTCTGTTGCTGCTGAAGCCTGACCAGAGCCTGGAGGCTTTTGTAGGTCCGAGTGGAGATCCCCTTCGCAACCTAAAGCAGAGGATGGCTGAGGGGACCGCCGCAAAAAAGCTGTCCTCCCACAGTGCCAGGTGGTGAAACAAGCCCTCGGCAGCACTGCCCATATCTCAAGAGCATCCTGCAAGCTCCAAGCCCTGTCCAAACCCCAAGGTCAGGGACCCCCAAAACCCCCAGGTCTCACCAGCCCTGACACCCACCGTTTCCCCAGCGCAATGTAACCCGTGCAAACAGCCCACAATGAGGTTTCAGTCATCGTTTGCAAAGCCCTCATCTGCTGAAGAGTAAATCTCAGCTATTTTGGAAAATTTCTAGGCTACAGAGTAAGTGCAGCATTTTCTCTTAGGTGGTATTTACAACTTGAGCAGGTTTTGCGACCATGAACATCCTGGTCTGGTAGAGATGTGAAGTGATGAGAAGCAAAGGGTGAAGGGGGTGCACGCCTGCAGGCCTGGCTTTGGGCACCTCTGCTGCTTTTGATACCACCTCAGTGCTCCTGAATAACATGCCAGGGAAAGGGGGGGACATGCCAGGGCTCCAGCCTATGTGAGATGAACCCAGGAGTGCTCCTTACAAGTACCTCCAGGAAACAATCACACGAGAAGTTATTCAGTCACTTTCTCTTTGTGCCTTTGGGACCCGAAACAGAAAGGTGAGAAACGCAGGTTGATGGAGCAACGCCGGTCCCCAGCAGCCGTGCCCGCTGCCTGCCTGCTCACTGCCCTTGCACCAACTCTGCGAGGTGCTAGGTGGTGGTGTTGCATTGCTGGGAGCTCGGAAAGACTCGTAGGACATACTATTTAATATGCTTGGCATGAAAAGGAATTGGGCAGTCAAAGTCCCCTTGAAATCCCCGTGACAGGGGCTGCTGTGCCCTCAGACACCCTCCTTCCCTAGAAGAGAGGGAGCCCTGGGTAATTTAGCATATGAAAGGCTGCTTGTGAGAACGATTTGCTGGAGAGATACTAATAACCAAGCTCAGAGACAGAGGCACGGCAGTTTATTCCCTGTGCTACTGTGTGATTCTGCCTCCACCTTCCCATTTGCCTCTCAGAGTGTGATTGCTCCAGACGGGGATTTTTTTTTTTTTACTGCCTGTTAGTATTTCAGTTGTTCTTCCCCCCCTCAAAATATTTGTGTCCCTGCACTGGCTCAGGGCTGGCATTGCAAGGGCTGGCACAGAAGGGGCAGACTCACCCTCTTGACCCCCATGCTCTCCAGTTTTTCCTCCAGCACTTCCTCCAGGATGGGGCGAAACTGCTTCAGGAGGTTTGGGTTTCTCCGCAGGGCTTCCAGCAGCCTCCGCTTCCCACCCAGGGCAGCCTCCTCCCTGTCTGGAATAAAGGTGGGTGCTGGCACCAGCACAGCGACTCGTGGTCTGCGCCCTGGGGAGGGGGCTGGTGCGTCCCCCCTCCTCCTCTTTGAGGAGACAGGTCCCACCAGTCCCAGAGCAAGCAACTGGTTGCTCTCAGCAGACTACATCCCTCTATGAAGGGGCAACTTCCTCCACTAATTTGATTAATTCCTGTCCACAACTTTTCCAAAATCCCACCCACAGCCCAGCAACTGCCTGGGACAGCTTTCCCGGGTGAAGCGTTGGCAGCAGGGCTGGTCGTGGTGCTGTCATGCTCTGCACAGCTGAGAGGGGACCAGAGAGCTCATCCCCTCTGGCCCCAGCCCACCACCTCATCACCGCCACCTTTGCCCAGCACCCCCCCGTCCGCACCGCACAGCACCCCAAGCCAAATGCCAGCTTCATCCTGGTGCTCTGGGGATAGGGATGGTCCCAACTCCGGTACCCACCTGATGACTCTTCATCAGCCACCGCTTTGGTCACCTCCCAGGTCACTGCAGGGAAGAAAGGAGCCTGTGAGGGTAAAAGAGGAGCCGAGGCCACAGCGCAGAAGCAAGCGCTGATCACCACCTGGTTTTCCTATATGGAAAGTATGGACACACCTGTTCCTTTGGGGATCCAAGGCTGGCCCAGGTCCGGCACCAGCCCTTGGAGAACATCCCCGAGGGAAAACCCAGGGCGCTCACCCACCAAGGCCACCGGCTGGAGGATGTCAGTAGGCAAACAGCCCTCTGCTACCCCTCGGGGCTGGGGTCAACGATGTACCCCTTGGGTATTTGCTAATAGGCATCCCTGTTTCATGGCCTTTTTTGTTTTCTGAGCAGCAGCACCTGGCCGGGTGGGCAGCAGAGAAGTCCCCTTTTTCTTTCCCTGGCACTTGATTATAGAAAACCCAGATGGTAAAGAAGAAACCACAGCGTGCCTCAGTTCCTTATTTTTATGCAAATAACCACTGGAATCATTTTGGAGAAGGCAAGGTCAAGCTGTGAGCTCTTGATTGAAATCTCATTCCTTTGGGGTATGGCTGTAATGCAAAACCCACCCAAGAGACAAGTTAGTTTTGTGCCAGCGACCAGAGCTGTGGGCTACGCTGTTGTGGCAGATAGTCAAGGGACTGGAAGGTGTCCACTTCGTGGTTTCGTGTGAGAGGACATACAGCCAGCTCCCTGGAGAGGACTCCATGGCATGCTTTTGTAGAGGGAGACAGAGAAGACATTGTGGTCTGAAGGGCTGTTAGCTATGAAAAATTTATTTAGACCCAAATTGATTCACTTTAAAAATGCAATCATTACCTTCAGGTTTGCTGGCAGATAGTAGCTTGATCTGTAAAGAAATAGATTGGGCATCATTCAAAAATCATTTCTTTGCCTATAATTTTGTGTCAGTTTTCCTCTCTCTGCAGAGTATTATTATCAAACGCATTCAAAAAAAGGAGCGGAAAATAGCAAGAGCCTAAAGTGGGCGCGTACACTCCCCAAGTGCTATTTCCTTTAAGCAGACCATACCTGCAAGGGGTCAGCTTAGTGGCTTCCCTTTCCACAATATCATCACTAGCACATCAGATGCCATCCTGTTATACCCATGTGCTATTCACAGATCTGATAACGAGTAAAAGATGCTCCAAATTGTAATGCAAAGTGTTGCTCTGGTGATCTACACCCCAGTGGGCACGGTACGTGCCAGATGATATTCATGCAATGCTTCGTGTTTAATGAGTGCAAAAAAGCGCCGAATGTAGCAAAGCATTACAGAATGGGCTTGAAATTAGGCTTAGTCTTAACCCAGCAAATATTTTAAGGCTGCTTAGAGTTAAACATCTGCTTAAACCCTCGTGATGAACCGAGGCCTCCTTTTTTTTATTTCACTTGCCTTCTTCTCCAGGGACTTCGTGACCTTGGGCTGCTCCCTGAACCAGGTGCTGAGGGCATCCATCTGCTGATGGACACGGTCCATAACCGCCTGCTGGTCCTGGGATGGGGCAGCACGGAGTGTCTTGTTCTCCTTCTTCAACTGAGAGGGGCAAAAAAGGAACGAGAAGACTTGAAGATGGTAAAAATGGGTTTGGAGCCATCTCTTCCCTTCACCAGCAAGGGCAGCTCTCTGGATTTTTATTCATTATTGAGATGTCCTCCAAAGGGCAGATCGGGCCTTGCGGAAGATGTACAGCCATCTTCAAAGTCTGCTGGTGGCAAGCTCGTGTCTCCTCACTGGTTGCGATAGGCCACAGCTTTCGTTGCTGCATTTCATTTATTCTTTCCCCTTGACAACCTAATAACTGTACTCTGTTGCGCTGGGCTTTGAAGTCCAGCCAAGGCTTATTTTAAGTGTGTAGCCCCGCTCTTTCTGGCTACCACTTGCTGGGCTGATCCACAGAGAGGGCATCCCTGGTTTTTCTGAAGAGACCTAACATCTCTGAAGTTTGAAGCTAAGATGGAGAAAAACCATAAGGGAAACAGCCAGGTCTTTTCTGAGCGAGGTGCCTGGGCACTGCCAAGGACATCTGGCACCCACCTGGACCTCCTGTGCCCAGTTATCCCTCAGCGCCTGCCTCTGCTCTGCCCTCTGCCAAATTAAGCACACAGGCGTTTCCCTCCTGGGGTTGCGGGCTGGGGGCTTCTCGTGGGCATGGGCAACCGATCTCATTGTACTCGGAGAAATTCAGCTTCCCTTTGGGTCCCGAAGGACAGCTGGCACTGTAACAGTGGTGCCGATCCCACCCTACTCCATGTTCAGATGTACCATGCACGGTAAAGCCTTCTTCAGATGTTTTTAGATGTTGAGAAGGCAGCCGATTCAGGGGTAAATAAATTTCTTTTGTTTATTTGGTACTTTAAATGCTTTTCCTTGTGGTGAGCTTCTGCAGTGCTCCGTTGAAGATGGGTTTCCCTGCGGCAAGCAGGGCTGACCTGGGACTGTGACATGTCCTCTGTACCGTCCAGGTCCCATTTCTGGACTCGGACTGTCAGTGCTCTACACCAGCAGGAGCCCATTGCTACCTGAACCTGAACAGACATCCATGAAGCAGAAGCACACTTTGCATGCATGGATGGGGGTCCACCTCCATCAAAATGCACCTCCTGGGATGCGCAGTAGGGGTAAGGACATGGGCACCACACTGCTCACCTGCACTGCCATCCTCTCCTGCTTGCCCCGCAGCTCTGCCCGGCTTGGTGTCTGGCCCCGTGCCTCCTCGGTATCATCATTTTGCAGGGTCCCTAGGTTGGACACTGCCGCCCCTCTGGCCTGAAGCTCCTGCAGTTTCTGGAGTGGGGAGAGGAAGGACCTGTGTGTCCACTTTCCTCCTGGGGAGCCCAACCTTGGCCAGCCACTGCTTCCAACCCCAAAATGCTTGCGTGCCCCAAGAGCAAAGAAATGAGGTCTTTTTGGGCTGTGAACCTGTGATACCACCTGGACCAGGCGAGGCAGCAGGCTTGGACATCCCCTCGCCCACCTTGAGGAGCATGCGGGGTGCTTGCTCACCCCCTCCATGGCACTGCTCCTGCTGGCCACGTCCTTGAATTCTGCGAGGAAGAGCTGCCTCAGGCCGTCTATCTCTTCATGCAGCTTCATCCTCTCCTCCTCTTTCCACCTTTCCAAATCTCTCCTGCCCTCTTCTTCTCGCTGGCGAGCTCTCTCCGTTTCCTAAAGGGAGCGGAAAAATCGGGGCAGGAGATGTTTTGGCTGCAGACCAGAAGGACCAAGGGCTGGGGCCTCTGCCCTGGTGCCAGCGGGATGAGCACCAACGCTCTCATTGCACCCATCGCTGCTCAGAGCCTGCCTGCACACCATGGGGCGGTCGAGGCAGCAGAGCCTCCTGGGCAGGCACCCTTACAGTCCTTACTTCCACGTGACGCTTCCCACGGGAAATTTTTGGGGCAAATTTTCCAAAGAAATAAGCATGAGCCCCACCTTAACATATTTTTCAGCGCCTTTTTCACCTGCGCTTTAAAAATGTCCCATGTTTCATCACTTTTTCTCCCGCTTCTCCCCATTTTTTTCCAAACAGGCAGCGGTGCCCTCGCCCCATACCTGCTCCCTGCGCAGCTTCTCCGCTTCCCTCTCCGCTTCCAGCTGCTGCCGTGTCTCCTGCAGTTTCGCCTTCAGCTCCTCCACCTCATCCTCCATTTGCTTCACCCGCTTCATCTTCTGCCTCTCTGCAAAGCCCGGGGAAACAGAGGTGCCGTGAGCAAGGGTGCGATCTGCCAGCTCCTACGGGGATTTTGCTTTGGGTGGGGTGGAGAATCCTACTAAAGCACTGAGCAAAACCGCTGTAGGGTTTCAGGGTGGAGAAGCAGGTAGCTGAGCTGCAGGAAAAAACCATGACAAATGTGGCCATGTGGCCTCTGATTTTTTTTTTTTTTTTTAATTATTTTTGTAAACTTGGCTCGTGGAGCAGCGTGGCTTTGCGGTGGGCTTGCTCCCCCAAGCAGCCAAAGTGCCCTGCTTGGACGTTTCAGGCTACACCGGGGAAGGTACCTGTGGAACAAAGCTCAGCCTGTTGCATTGCATCAGCCCTGGGCTGGGGTTTCAACCTGCCAGCAAACAGCAAAAGCGGCTTTTTTATCTGCCACGTTCAAGTGCCGGGTGCAGGCGAAGCTGTAATGAGGCTCCGTGGCTCTCACAACACGTTACACCTGCAGCTTTCAAAGCGTTTTGCAAAGGAGCATCAATTCCTTGCCAAAAAAGGGGCACGGGGAAGGTGAACTCCTCTCCTACTCTAGCAAAACACTCTCCCAAACACCCCGATGTAGCTCCATCCCCACGGTTCCATGGAATTTTTGGGTGCAGAAGATCCTTAGGGAAACCGAGGTACAGAGATGAGCTGTAAATGCACATGCAGTCTCACATTCGGCTGCATGTCCTACCTGTGCTGAAGGGAAAGGCAGCAAGCAGAAAGCATTCAGTCAACATTCACAGAAATGCGGAAGAAGAAAGAAGTTATGAGAAGTTGTCTTTAACCTCCTATGGTCACTCTGGTTTCCAGCACCTACCTCCGATGGGGGGAAAACCTGCCTGGGAAAGTGGAGGGAGAAACCGTCCCAGTGCTCACCCGCCTCGGTGGCCTCTGCGTGCCGGCGCTGCACGTGGGCTTGCAGGAAGGAGTCGTTCATGAAGGCTTTATCGCAGCGGTGGCACTGGAGAGGGGGGAAGAGTCAGCAGAGGGACTGGGGTCTGGAGAAAGGGGCACTCCCCATCTCCCCTGCCTGGCAAATAAAGCTTTGCTGCTTTAAAACAAAAGGGGAGACCTCAAGAGACATGGCTGTTGTGTTGGAGGTACGTAGATGGAGAGTATTTGGAGTTTCTTCTGTCTGAAGCCTAAAAAAAACCCCTTTAGGGGTCAGGAGAAGGCAGAAACCAAGATGGTGCAGGGATGCTGCTTGGGGAAAAAATAATGCAGTGCAATAAGGTGGTCAAAGCGGCAGTGAGGTCCTGGTTGTAACAGGGTCCTGCACCGGCTCTGGAGAAAGGGAGAGCTACACTTGTGGGGATGACTAGGCTGTATGAACCTAAATCACCTGGTTTGGGTGGCTTTTACTCTCCAGGAGTAAGTGAGCAGGTTGATTTGGTGATGGAGAAGCAGCAGGCAAAAAGGCAGAAGGCTTCC